ATTCCAGCAATATTCATTTTTCTTAAAGATCTTACTAATATTTAACTGAATAAATGGAAAAGACAAAAAAAATCAATCCAGCAAAAAGAAGAATCTTTGGCAGAATTGTCTGGAAAGACAGAAAAACCTTCAACAGAATAGAGTTTTCATTCTGCTGTTTTTGCAGCAAATAATCTAGTATTTCAGACAGAATAAGAATGGATGTGTGTTATAGTAAACCAAAGAAAATATTCATAATTAGACATCTTTTTTAATATCCAAAGAAGTTTCTGGTGCTAGTGACTCATTCTCAGCAAAGCACATAAATTATGCTGTTTTTTAGTAGTTGGATGGGGTGCACTGATCCCTCCACACTCTCACATATTTTCGAGTGACCAAATTTGCAAGAAAGCTGACAGGTCTAGAAATGTAGGTGGGAAGATTAAACCTAACTGGCTCATACAGTGATCCAGTGGCTAATCTCATAAGCACTGAGCTATAAACAATTGAGTTAACTCAATCTAATAGATGATATAGAAAGAAGAAGAAAAAAGGTTCCAATGGAGATCCCATAGGGGCCAAATGACTGGGAAGCATTTTTAGGTCACAAGGCCTAAAATCTAAAATTTGGGGTTTGAAAGCTATACAGACAAGTGTCCATGCCATCTGGGACTGGTTCCTTCAAGCCTTGGGCCTCTCAGGGGCACAACAGCAAAAACATAACGTATAAAACATCTTATTTTCAATGTATATGTTTATATATTCACCCATGTTATACTTAAAATATGAATTTTTATATTCATACTGTATGCCTACTCAAGATAGTCATCCTTTTATAAAAAATACTTATATCACAACATTAAAACTTGAACCAAAAAATGACACCATCCTTTAAGTGTAAAGAGGAAAAGTGATCTTCAGTCTTGTAATGACATATCAATAATGCTACAAACTCACCAAATGGGTGACCCTTGGCACCTCATTTAGTTTCTCTTAGCCTCAGTTTCCTCAACTATAAAATGAGTATAGTAATATTATATTATCTACCTCATAGTGGTAATAAGGAAAGTGCTTTGTAAACCTTAAAGCATTTTTAAAACATAAGCTTTGATTATTATTATTAGTGAATCCACTAAAAGCATATTCCCTCTAAGAATAAGTCCTTTAATTTATGAAGACCTTCTGAAGTTTAAGATGTTACATAAACTGCAATACTTAGAGCATTTTAAAATGCGCTTATAAAAACCGTAGTTTATCTGAATATTGACTGGTCCCACAGTGCCCTCTGGTGGAAGCTTCATAACTGACTGCAGATTCCACAATGCATTGTAGTGCTGTCCACTCTCCAGCAAATTAATCGAATTTTCTTCTTCAGTCAAAAATATTTCCAAATCTAAGGGAGGAAAAAAAAAGTTGTTTCTTTTTTGCAAGGCAAAAAGTGACTTGCCCAAAGTCACATAGCTAACAAGTGTCAAGTGTCTGAGGCCAGATTTGAACTCAGGTCTTCCTGAATCCAGGGCTGGTGCTCTATCCACTGTGCCATCTAGCCACCTCTTAAAAAAAAAAGTTTCTAAAGCAATTTTTGCATGTCCACAAACACACCATCATGTTTTAGGGGAAAAAGAGCATTTTTTAAATGAAAAAGAAACTGAGAGTTCAGACCTTATTTCTATACTTTCTAGAAATTCATTCTGCTTTTTAGGCCTTGGAAGTACATTGAAGTTCAATTCAGCTTACCATTGAAAGTGTACAAAATGTTTGTACTGTAGAGTACAACCGTAGAGTAGCATAGTCGCAGGATGGTGTGATGAGGCCTGGTCTTATGTCTTATACAAACACTAACTGTGTGACTTCAGTAAAGTCATTTTACATCTCTGGGCCTCAGTTCCATTATCTTTAAAAGGAGGTTGGACTCCATTATCTTTGAGGTCAATTCACTTCTATAACCCTATGTGGGCTTAGAACAAATGCAAAAGCCAAACTTAATGGAAGAGTAAAGCAAGCCTTAATTGCTGGGTGAATATTATTGAGACAAATTAAACAGGTCAGAGAAAACCAGGGACAAATGTAGGATTTCCAAGGCCTGGAGTCACAGAATCCTCCAGGACAATGAAGATGCTGATGGTTAGCTCATTGTAAAATGGCCTAATGCTAAGGAAAAGAATATTTGAGGGGCATATTAAGGATCAGGAAGGACCTGGAGGGGTCAGAATGACCCGTGGAGCAGAAGCATATTTTCAATCTCCAACCAAATGAGATGATCAGGGGACCCACATCCAAAGATCAGTAAGACCTGGAAATGGAGTAGAAAATAGGATAACCAAAATGTTTCAGGGTTTTGTTTTGTTTTGTTTTTCTGGAAAAAGAACTAAAGATTCCCCTGGACCTGGCAATGGTGCCAACCAAAGTCTATCTACTTTGAGTACCATTCTTTAGTAGTGGTTGAGGGGAGGAGAGGAAAAAATGGGAAGTATATCGTTTTCCAGCCAAGACCATTTTTGTCTACACATTAAAATTGGGCTTTGATATTAGGACTCTGTTAACTCTTTTATTTATAATCATTTGTACCCTTTCCTTTAGTTTCCTGGAAAAATTCCAACTTTGTCTTGCTGGGGATGTAGAGGCAATATAGCGTAATGGGAAAATATTGGATTTGGAGTCCTAAAACTTGGGATTGAATCCTAGTGCTTCTACTTAATTGATCTTAAGCAAGTCACTTAGCACCTTAAGACCTCCTCTATAAAACGAGGGGTTTGGACTAGATTTTAAGGCTCTTTCCATCCTGAAATCCTAGGAAATAGTCACCTTTCATTAAGCAGAGGCTAATTTCTTTTAAGCTTAACTAGTTTTCTACTTTGGGCTTTGAGAATATAAGCTACAGGACAGGACAAGAGAGAAGAGCGAGTAAGTTGGAAATGTGCATAAATGAGGTTGATTATTTATGTCAGGCCTCCTGCAAATGGAGGGTGCCCTTGCATGAGCAATCATGGAGGAAAGGAGGAAGGGTGGAGAAAGAAGGCCGTGGGTAGAGAAAGGGTGTGCAGATGACAACTCCACTTACTTCATGATATACATCTACGGTTCCAGGCATTACAACACAGAGGAGCACCAGGGACTCTAGGCTCTGCCACTTTTATCTCGAGTGTCTTCCAGGTGCCTTAGCACACCTTCTTCTCCATAAGATATCGTTGATTGGTGCACCTGGGACCAAGACAGAAAGGATCTTACTTTTGACCCCAACTCGTGGCCAAGGTTATTTCTCTCAGCTCTCTTGGTTAGTCAGGAACCAAGAGCAGATTTGAAAAGGCATATTGATAAGGGTAGCAATCAATCTATGTGTAAATCTGTGTCAAGCTGAATTGAGTAAGGAGCCTGTAACTGTACCGTATCTAATTTGTATAGTTTGTACCCCAAGATTCTCTTGCAGTGCAATAAAAGAATTTGTCTACTTTAAGTGACTGAGTGGGCCCGTTCTTCTGGAAGGGAAAGGAGTATTACAGGAGAAGTGAAGGGGAAAGTCTTTGTTCCCAGAAAGCCAGCTTTTGGAGGATAAAATACTTGGAGCCCCTGACATCAGCAAAACTGGCTGAGGAATCGTATGTTTTACTGGCTACCATTTACATAACAAAGAGTTTATGTGTATGCTCAATACACTGTTAGGTATCCTGGGAGACATTTTGTCACAAGGACATACCCGAATTACCTACTGACATTCTGCCAAAAGATGACAGGTCCCTAGACCTCTTCTAGAAAGAAAGGGTTTGATTTTGATTTTGCAAGAACCCTGTAGGGGCAGGGTCTCAGAGTCAGGCCAACTTGCAACCTCGCCTCTGACACACACTGGCTATATGACCCTGGGCATGTCACTTAAACTCTCAGTACTCTAACGTTGTAAGTTGGAGGCATCCATAGGAATTGGTTGGCAGAGTTTCCTCATGTTCAAGCCTCCCAAATCAATGGAATCACAGGCTGAGTCCTTTGCCTATGACTCCATATTTGGGGGGAGTGCTCCTCTCACAGAAGCATGTGTGTTTCTGCTAGATGGGCCATTCTTTATCAGTCACAAAATCCTATGCAGAAAAAGTAAATTTATTAGTTAATAAGTAGCAGAATGTCTGCTTGCCAGGATGTTATGCCAGAAACAGACTCATGATAATAGACCCTCTTGGAGCAGTTACAGCAATAATAATGTTATTTTACAAAATTACTACTACTGTTTCCATTCACTGAATCATGCCGTGTAGGGGAATAATGTAATTGTTTATTACACCCCTCCCCCAAGCCATATAGGATGACCACAGAAACAGCTTCAAAAAAATATTTAGATCACCACACCAGGGATCCAATACCCATGACTGGAAGGGGCCTCAACAGCATGTATATATTGTATAGAGAGCGCGTGAGCATCAATATGCCTGAGAAGTTGGACTACATAATGCTCTTCCAACTCTGAAAGTCTATGGCTAACAGAACACAAGATGATCTACAATCAACATGCTTCTGATATTCTCATGCATAGCCAAATTATCTTTAATTTGGTATTTGAACCAAATTAAAGGAGTAGTGTCACAGTGGGTAAAACCCTGAAGTAGGAGGTCAGGGAACCTAAGTTCCAGTCCTGGCTTTTTTCCCAACAACCTTGCAAAGTAGATAGTGTGGGTTTTATTACCATTTGGAGGAAACTGAGGGCCAGAAAGTTTAAGTGACTTGTCCATGATCAAATTATTTACTAGTGTAAAGGCTGAGGTTCAAAAGAAGGTCTCCTGACTGCATCTGTGATGTTCTTTCCATTATGTTGCCTCTAAATATCTGGGTCACCTTAGGCAAGTCTCAACTTTTTTTCAGCCTCAATTTCCTCATCTATAAAATGAAGGGGTGGGAGGAGGCAGGTGGCCTCTGAGGTTCTGTCTACTTTAATGCTAGTTGTCTTTGTGCTTCCACTTTTTCATTGGGACCACCTTGGATTGAATCTTAAAATTTCCTAAAGTTAACATTGACATTCAAAACTTTTAGGGGGAGACTCAAGATTTTATATGTTGCCCTTTTGAGAAGAGCAGTGGAGCTGAACGATGAGGATTTGAATGGGAAGATCCAAGTTTTGATGTTCTCAGCTTCATCTGATAGATGCAGAATGCCTGGATGCTCTGCTTACGCTTCAGGCGGCGTGCTATTTCGATTGGCGTTTCTCCCTTTAAGTCCTTCACATTTAGAGCTGCACCATAATCAAGAAGTAGATTTATACAGCTGACATGTCCCATGGCTGCAGCAACATGAAGAGCAGTTCTTCCTACTGGTGTTTTGGCCAAACAACTAGCACCTGCAAAAGTAAATAGTCCATACTGTGGAGTTCTGTTTTGTTTCTTTGTTTGTTTTTTACCCAGGATGCAAAATAGCACATTCAGTAACACATTCTGGAACAACTGGAAAAACAGAATAGTACTCAAGTTCTTTAAAAACATCATCTTTTAAGATAGCAAAACCATAACACTAATGAACATCTTTCTTTTTTTTTTCTTTTCTAGTGGGGCAACTGGGGTTAAGTGACTTGCCCAGAGTCACACAGCCAGTAAGTGTTATGTATCTGAGGCCAGATTTGAACTCAGGTCGTCCTGACTCCAGGACCAGTGTTCTAGCCACTGTACCACCTAGCTGCCCCTAATAAACATATTTCTTAATAAAATGGTGAATTCCTTGCAGGCAGAAGCCAAGTCATAGAAGTCATAGATCTGCTGCTTTGGATTCTCACCTTAAAAGGGATGGACACATAATAGGGGTTTAATAAGTAACAAGGAGGCAGCTAGTTGGGTGGCTCGGTAGATAGTGTTGGGCGTAGAGTCAGGAAGGCCTGAATTCAAATCCAGCCTTAGATACTTACTAGTTGTATGATCCTGGGCAAGTCACTTAACCTCTGTTTGCCTTTATCCACTGGAGAAGGAAATGGCAAACCACACCAGTATTTTTGCCAAGAAAACCCCAAATGAGGGGTTGGACAGGACTGAACAACTAAACAACAACAACAAAGTACCAGTTACACAGAATTCTATTCAATTTGAGTCTTCTCTGTACAAGGCACTGTACTAGACGCAGAGCTGTATATGGGAGAGACGTCAGGGAGAACAGGGTAGTCAATAAATATTTTAGATTAAATGCTTAGAAACTTAATGCACATAAATTAGTCACACATTTTAATTCATTTTTGTTCATTTGTGGAGTTAAAAGTTTTAAATAGATTCTTGTAACGCATTGGTGTCACCAGTAATCTTTCTCAGCAAAAAATAAAAAAAAAATTGTTAGCCAAAATATTTTCCATGAGTTTAAGTCAGTTTCACTGTGAAACAACTATGAAAATTCCACTTAAAATATGACCAAAATTTCAAATGCATCAAAGTCTTCTGGGCTATGAAAATGCCTATTTTGTAATAAAATGTAAAAAAGTCTAGAATACTAAAGTACAAAAGGGTTTCTTGTTGTAGAAGTCTATAAAGTTATACGTAGAAGGAAAATAGGATTATCCTCCAGTCACAGGTTCACAAATTTTAGAAGTAGGAGGTATCTTTGAGATCATCAAGTTCAAACTCTCAATTTACAAATGAGAAAAATGGGGCCAAGAATGATGGGAAGTGGCTTGCTGAAGAACACTCAAGAACCCTGGTCCTTACTCCTAATCTAATGCTCTTTTCTACTACCTCCAGTACAAATAACAAAGTAACATCACTGTTACTTTTTATTAATTATAACTCTTATCTACATGACACTTTAGATTTGCAAAGTACTTTCTCCTCATAATCCTCATAAACTACTTATAAGGTAGTACAAGAATTATTAGCCCCATTTTACAGATGAGGAAATTGGAGCGCAGAGTATGATTTGAACAGTGTTGAAAAGTTATTAAGTTATTAGGAGGCAGGTCTCTGTGTAAAATCTTCTGAATCCAAGATCCTGGGACAACTAGATAGCATAGTGGATAGAGCACTGGGCCTGAAGTCAGAAAGACACATCTACCTGAGTTCAAAATCTGGCCTCATACACTGTGTGTATGAGACCCTGTGAGATTCTGGGCAAGTCACTTAACCCTGTTTGCCTCAGTTGCCTCATCTGTAAAATGAGCTGGAGAAGGAAATGGCAAACCACTCCAGTATTTTTTGCCAAGAAAACCCCCAAATGGGGTCATAAAGAGTTTGAAATGACTGAAAAATGACTCAACAACAAAAACTCAAGACCATCATATAGCAAATGGTCTTGGGAGAATGGACTCTGCTTTATTGTGTCTTTAATTCTACTACACCACTTCTGGAAGGCTTAAGGATTGCTTTGCATGGTCAGATAGCAACCATTGAGCCTCCATCATCTATCTATATTGATATTGCACTTGGTTTTCACCTCTAATACAAATAACTATAATATAAAATGATATGTAAGGTTATATGTTTTATTGTAAAGCTGAATTGTGAGCTCCAAATTCATCCATTAAGCACATAATGTGTACACAGGGCACTGTGCTAGGTGCTAGGGAATTTATTTCCAATCTGTGAACACGTATTAAATACCTACTATGTGCCAGGCACTATGCTAGGTGCTGAGAATACAAAAACAAAACAAGTCCCAGGTTAAAACATTAAAATGTTTTGAGAAGGTGAAGTTGCAGTTGGGCTGGGTTGAAGGTACTGGGATCAGATACACTTATACCCAAGCTAGTCAGTACCCGGCCAGGGCTGAAATCAATGCTGGGATCCTTACCTGGGAACCCCCAAAGTCTCAAAAGCCACTCTGCAACATGCAAAGTGAAGGGTAAACAGGAAGGCCAGAAAAATAATTAGTGTTAAAATAATAAAAATTTTAAATGTTTATAAAAATAATAATTTAAAAATAAATATTTTAAAATAAACAAATTTAAAGATTTAAATTTAATAAATAATAAATAAAATAAAATATTTAATATTTATAAATATGTAAATAAAATAAACTTTTAATAAATAAAATTTTAAAAATAAAATAAAAATTATAAAACTTAAATAAAAACATAAATAAAATAAAATTTTTTAATTTTTTTTTTAAAAGTCTAGTTGGGAGAACTTTAGTGGAAAGATAGTCTATAAGGTGGAGGCAGATAGATAGCTCAGTGAATAGAACATTGATCCTAGAGTCAGGAAGACCTGAGTTCTTCAAATTCTGCCTCAAATTCGTAATAACTGTGTGACCCTGGGCAAGTCACTTAACCTCTGTTTGCTTTAATCCACTGGAGAAGGAAATGGCAAACCACTCTAGTATCTTTGCCAAGAAAATCCCATGGGCAGTATTGGCATGCTTTGGTCCATGGTTTTACAAAAAGTAGGACATGACTGAACAACAACAGGCTATAAAGTAGGATAATCAAAATGTTCATATTTTATTCTTTCTGTCTCAAGTGTGACATGGAGATCATAACATCTCCCTCAGAGGGTTATTGTGAGGATCAAATGAGAGAATATCTGAAAAGTGCTTAGCACAGTGCCTGGCAGATAGTAGGCACTTAATGCTTATTCCCCCTCCTCGAAAGTCTGATGCATGCAATAAGAATTAAGCGACGTAAATTATAAGCTATGAGGTATTGATATTACCATTTTCTAGGAGAAAACGTACAGCTTCAGTATGGCCTTTATGTGCTGCAACATACAAAGCTATAAAAGCTCTGTCAGCTATCCATTCCTTATATTTCTCTGCTCTTAAAAGTGTAGAATGCGGAGTTCTGTAGAGAGAGTCTTCAGTAACACCTAGACAAGATAGCTGGCAAGAAAAATGGAATTACCGTGAAATAAACAAATTATGCAAAAACCTAAGAATACTTAATCAGTTTAGATACACTTATATTAGGAGAGGTGTTCAATCACCTATCCAGCAGTTTCTAGAAAAGAAGGCTCATGGTGGAGATAAATAAGTATAATGCCCTAAATGAAAGCTCAGAAAATACTCTGAAAAGGATAGGTGGTACTAAAAATAATAATAATAGCTAACAATAATTTAAATAGCATCCTATTACGTGCCAAAGGCTTTACAAATATTATCTCGTTTGATCCTTAAAACAACTCTAGGAAGTAGGTGTTGTTATCATACTCATTTTCCCATTGAGGAAACTTAGGCGAACAGAGGTTAAATTACTTGCCAAGGTCACACAGTTAGTGTCTGAGGCTTGGATTTTAACTCAGGTTTTCCTGATGCCAGGCCCAGTGCTCCATCTACTGTGCTACCTAGCTGCCTCGATTTGTATAATACTATGTAAATGTTTAGAAAATACTGATCTGTTTTGAGAAAGAGTAAAGAAAACTCATTGGATAGTCAGGGGAAAACAGTTCAAATCAAGAGATTGAACAGAAATATTATATAGCACCTAATAAACAGGAAGACTGACTCTTCTGTATTTAATTTTTATGTAAACATTTAAGGAAAAAAGCTTCAGAATATACTTCTCTAGAATTTATCTTTGCTTTATAAAGAATAACATTAATTTAAAGAAACATGAAAACACCTTACTAGCGTCCCCTTCCATTGCAGCCAAAACAAGTTCTTGCCATCCATCCTGATGCCAAATACACATTGAAAGAATTCCACCAGGAACAACATCATGGAACCCTAATGTGGAATCGTCCATCAAAATTCCTACAAGGAAATTCCCCACACGAAAGAATAAAGTATTACACATAAATTATTACACTGGATAGCTAAAGAGGTTCTCTGACATTTGATATTAAAAAAATTGTTTTGAATTTTGTAAATAAATCTCACTTGATGAATTTGTACAAATCAGCTTTATTGTACTTTACAGCCTTTTAAAATGTAATTTGGTTCATATATCAATAACAAAAGCCTAACAAAAGATAACAATGACAATTTTAAAACAAAAAATTTCAACTATACTATGGAAAGATGCAGAGGTCAGTAAAATCACTATATGAAGTGACTCCTTTAAAAGTAGATCTATTTAAAGGTATGTTAGAATAAAATTTGCTTACAGTATTATACTATTATACACTAAATTACACATAATATAAACTTATAAACTATGATTCATGTTATTAGCTGCTAATGGGATAACAATGTCATATTTTTCAAAAATGTTAGCCTATTAATGAAATGCTCACAAGGTCCAACCCAAATATAGCAACATGTGAGTGACTAATACTGGCATTTACCAGAGTTTGAATATGTAATGGACATTAGATCATATATGTAGATGTTAGAACAACATTTCTATATTAAATAGTTTGGACTTTAGCAGCATTTGGGGAAGGCTTCTATGAACTAATAACTTGAAGAGTGTTGCTTTCAAGTATATACTGTAACTTTCATTAAATGTTCTCTATGTCCTTGTGTTCTTGTTTTTAGTATTAAACTGCTTTTTCCTAAGTAGCACAAAAGTAAACATCAATCCAGTACAGATGCAATTATCATAAATTCCAAATGAGAAGAATGAAGTTCAGGGCAATATTGTACAAATAAAAACTACACCTACAGTGTAAGTTGCCAGAAACTTGGACTAAAGTAAGTTAGAATTGGGAATTAGCAGACTCATTAATTAGGGTCCTATTTACAGTGTCAAAGGATAATCATGAAATTGAATGAAGACCCTATCCCTTCACAAGAACTTTAAAAAATATATTAAGATTGCTTGATGTTCCCCTAAGGGGAAAAAAGGTACAAATAACAACTATTAATTTTTTTTAATCTTTAAAATATTTTGATATTTGACTGTGCTTAACATGTTCAGTCTCAAAAACTTTTTATATAGCACTTTAAAGTTTAAAAAGCATTTTCCACACACCAACCCTGTGAAATAAGTTATACAAACATTATTAGCCCTATCTTTTCTTTTACAGCTGAGGAGACTGAGAATCAGAGAGGTTAAGTGGCTTGCCCATAATCACAGTTACAATTAGTAAGTGGCAGAGCCTAAATTCAAACCTAAGCCTTCTGACTTCAAGTTCGGTAATTTTTTTTTTTTATCAATAGGCCATTTTGCCTCCATATTAGCATTATCAACATCCTTCAAAGGATCCAAGGGCATTTCCTTCCCTACCCAAGCTTCTTGAGGGCAGGAATTACTCTTTTTTTTTTGTCGTGTCTCCAACACTTAAATGTTTGCTGAGTTAATTTAATCAAGTGTGAATGCTTCCTCCCTGCCATAGTTTTTGAGTTTTATAAGCATGTGAATGCTTAGATTACAAGTATGCATTCCAAGCTGTTGCAGTACTAGCAGCTTTTCCAGCTAGGTTGGAGCCGTCAGGGCTTTCCGCCAAAGCTTCTGAGCTGCTAGGATCACGTCCACATCAAGATGAGGAATCAGAATTCCACCTTAGAGGAAGATATTAGTAACAAAGTAAAACATTTTTAAAACGAAATAGATTCCACCGATTCAAAAATAGAAAACTGAAATTTCTCCTTTAGGGCTTCTTAAAAACTTTTCAACTTATTTCAATGTCTAAAAAAGAAAAAAGTCTGCATCAAAAAGATTAAAAATTAAGAGAAACATTTGGCAAGACTACTTTGCTGTTCACCCATCTTTCTCTCTGTTATGTCCTCATCTCTGCAAAAATCAGCTCTTCACATTCCCCTGGCCCAGTTTAGAGCCAAAAGGCTTTTTTTTTTAAACTTCCATGCTTCCTTGAAGCCTCTCGTATCAATGAGAGTGGGGAGAAGATGGATCATGTGCTCAGATTCCTAGAATTCTGGCAACATTGAAAGGAGAAAATCATGGTCCCCAAATTTATTTGAGACACTTAAAGGTGAAGGAAGCCATCACGTGATTTGGGATCCTGAACCTGGACAGGATTGTGAGATCTGATTAGGTATTTGAGGTCCTAAACCCCAAAAGCAGGATCTGGGGTCTAGGCTATAAATAGGATGAGAGCGGGGATAAGATCCTGGGGGCTAGGAAGAGTTATGGTGCGATGCAGGGGTCGTCGAGATTGGGGGCTGGAGGTCCTGGTGTCGGGCAGGATGTGGGGGCTTTGGGGTGCTGGTCCTAAGCAGAGGAGGCCAGTTGGGGATGCTCGCAGAGGAAATGCAGGGTGGACGCCCAGAAGGGTCGCGTCCCGGGCGGGCTGCACGCGAGGCGCCACCTTGATCCAGGTACAAGATGCGTTGGAAGTGGAAAGGAATCCCGGCCATCAGATCTAACTCCTCCTTCAGCTCCCGCACGGTGGTGTCGCCGTGGCAGCCGGACAGCCGGTAAATCTCTCCAGTCTCTTCTAGCCGCACTCGCAAAGAGAACCACTTGCTGAGATTGGGCGAACGGCTTTGCGAAGACAGTCTGTGCCGCCAGGAGGAGCGATGCAGCCCGAGGCCTCGTGGGGGCGCTGGAGAGAACTGCAGCGCCCCCGGCAGCGGCCCCCGAGCCAGCATCCCAGCGCTCTAGCGCAGCAGCAGCTGCCGCGGTCCCACCCCCACCCGACCCTGACGCCGACCCCCCCCAGCCTGACCCCACCCCCACCCCCACCCCGAGCCTGGGCCTGTGCCCCAGCCTACACTGGGGTCCCCCGCGCCAGCGCAGGGCCAAATACTGCAGGCACCGCCCGCGTTGCTAAGAGCAACGGGAGCCCTCTCCCTTTTGGGGCCTTATGAGGAGAACACTGGAGCACGCGCCTGCGGGGTCGGGGGTGGGGAGAGGAGCTGCGGCGAGGTGGCGGACGGGGCCGGGAGGCGGATGGGGCGCTCCCAGCTTGGGCCAGAGCCGAGCCCGGAACCACGCGGGATCGTGGAGCTAAGAGGAATGCATGCCATGGGCCACCCGCTGCAGCCCATTCTTCAAATAACCCCGAAGAATCCCCCGCCCTCCCCCCATGTGAGCCCCTCCAGGCCAGGAATGACCTTTCTGCCTTTGTGTTCCCAACACTTAAATGTTTGTGTAATTGATTTAGTCGAGTGTGAATGCTTGCTGCACACCTAGTTTTTTGAGTTGCTGTGACCAAAATAAAATAACCTGCTGTCTGGAATAAGCCTTTGCCCACTTAGGGGGCCCTTGGGTCACAAGCACACATTCCAAGTGTGTAGAGGTATATAGTGAGAAGATAGGAGTGATGTAGGTGTCCCCAAAGTCGGGGAAGCCGAGGCCCAGACGGGGACCTTGCCAAAGGGCACCCAGATAGCTGGCATCAGGGCTTGGGCTGGCACCAATTGCTGATCCTCCTTTGGAAGGTCTAAATGACTGAGAGAGGACCACCCCTCCAGCCCCCATTGTCACAGGACAATCTGTTTGCTTTACCTTTATAGACATGGACAATAGAGGCGACCTTGAACTCCTGGGGCATAACCTCCTCTTGTCATGGAAACTTTCAGTCAGCTTTTGTATAAACAATGGACCTCCACCCCACCCCACCCCCACACACACACCTTATAAATCTCAGCTGGAATAGAATCAGCACCAGGTGCTTAGCCAGGAGAGGATGCTGTTGGAATGCCATTGAAAAACTCTTCCTCAGTTGGAAATTAGGCTAGAGAGGGACTAACTTCAACCTGAGGTAAACAGTCAAGGGCTTCAGTATTATTGATTGATGATGGTCTGTTGAGAACATTATGGAAGTGTTCAGCTCATTTTTCCAAGATCATGTCCTTATCACTAATCAATGTGGCTCCATCAGCACTGAGTAGTTGAAATGTACCAAATGCCTTTGGCCCATAAATAACCTTAAGGGCATCATAAAAGCTCTTTGGAGTGTTACTAGCAGTGTAAAACTGAATTTCATCTGCCATCTTACTAAGACAAGAATCCTTCATCTCCCTAAGCTTCCCTTGTACTTTACTTTTGATGGAGTTAAATGCTTCCTTGGAGACCAATGAACTATCCTGCTAGTCAACCAAAACTCCAATGAGCTGGCCACATTGTTTGAATGCCTAATGTATGCTTGCCTAAAAGACTATTTTATGGAGAACTCACACAAGGCAAGTGCTCACATGGTGGTCAGAAGAAGCTATACAAAAACACTCTCAAGGGCTCTCCTAAGAACTTCGGAATTGTTTGTGTGACATGGGAGATACTGGCACAGGACTGCCCAGTATGGCATGCTTTCCTCAAAGAAAGTAAGTGCTCTATGAGCAAAGCAGAATTGAAGTAACTCAAAAGAAACAAAATATGAAAATTTAGAGAATCCACCCCAGAAATTCACATGGACTCTTTGTGCCCAACCTGCGGTAGAACATTTCGAGCCTGTATTGGTCTGATCAGCCACAGTTGGACACACTGTAACTTGACTCTTAACATAGTGATGTCATTTTGGCCTCTTCAAGAACAAAGGACAGCAACCAACCAACCAATTATGTCTTGGTGCTGGGATTCAAATAAATGTTATATCAACAGTAACCATTGAGTATGTCACTTGATACTCTAATAAATGTTGACATACTTCTGGAGGAAATGAATTTTAATGAGTGTCCAAAAAGTCTTTGTGCTATTTTAAGCATAAAATTGCACTAAACTTTTGAGACACCCTGTATATCAATATTGATCTTCTGACTATATGTTTCTCAATTTCTTACGCATACACACATATATACATATAAACAGTTATTAACAATAACACGTTCATTTAAATATATATAAACACATATATATATAAACATTTGACAGACTATATATGTCAGATATACATACATGACATGTTCATATGTTTGTATATATGTATGTGTATGAGAGACATATACAGTGATTTCAATATTGATATACAAGTTGTCTCAAAAGTCTTAGTGCTGTTTTATCTCTCTCCATATATATATAGAAATATATTGGGGCAGCTAGGTGGTGCAGTGGATAGAGCACCGGCACTGAAGTCAGGAGGACCTGAGTTCAAATCCGGCCTCAGACCAAACACTTGACACTTACTAGCTGTGTGACCCTGGGCAAGTCACTTAACCCCAATTGCTAAGAAAAACAAAAAAAAGAAACATGTCTTGTTGTTGTTCACTCATCTCAATTGTGCCTGATTGTTTCATGACCCCATTTGGGGTTTTCTTGGCAAAGATGCTGGAGTGGTTTGCCATTTCCTTCTCTAGCTTATTTTACAGATGAGGACGCTGAAGCAGATAGAGTTGAGACTTGCCCAGAGTTACATAGCTAATAAGTGTCTGAGACTGGATTTGAACATATATGCATATATGTATGTATAGGTATATATTTTTGTATATACGTGTATATGTAAGATAGACAGACACTCATGGATTGTCATGGCATCTCTCTCATCTCTTAATATATGTGTGTATATATATATATGTATATTATATATATATATATATGGGGAGAGAGAGAGGAGTAGGAGAAAGAATGAATTCTTTGGTCCGTGACAATCCATGAAAAAAAAATACAAAATAGGTCACAAAGCCTGTGCATTCATAATTCTGCAGCAATGGTGATAGAGTAGTAGAAAAAGAAGGCCACAGATGCTAAGAATCAAATTGATTTTGTATCATCAATAAACAATTTAACTATGTTACTGTTGGTACTAAATATGAGGTCCTCGTCCAATATTACTAATGAGCAGACATACTTCTGGAGGAACTGAATTTTATGTTCATATACAATTTTATATTCATATATACTTTTATATTTGTATATAAATATAATTAATCTATTTGTATATTTATAAACAATGATGTGTAAATATGTGTTTATATGTAATTTTATACATAGAAATATATAAATATATTTACACATCATTGTTTAGATATATAGATATAGAGAGAGAGATTTTCTTACTATAAATTCAACCATTGGTGAGTTGGTCATATAATAAGAATGAGGCTTAAGAGCTGGACAGACTGGGACTAACAGGTGACCAAATGGACCAAGTGCTGCATGATAAAGGCTGCCAAGGCATTGGTGGAGTAAGTCTCTGTGGAGGACTTTATGGCAGCATACAGTCAAGGATTGTGCAGAATGAGAAGGAATGAATAAGCAGGACGGATGCATCTTTGGAGGACTAGCAATAGCTGTCAAAGTATTAGCTTTTTTTTTTTAACGTTCTGGTATTAGGTAATCCTATTTGGGAAATGTGATTAATTAACCCTTTTTACTTCAATTTGGCTTAGATTTTTATCAAAGTCTAGTACTTGAGGGTTGTCATGTGGATGAAAGATTCAACATCATCATCATTATTAATAACCAAAATAATAACTGACATTTCTATGGAATTTTAAAATTTTATAAAATACTTCACATATACTATTATTCAGTCCTTGTAACACGTCTGTAAGGTTTGTATGGCAGGTAGTATCATCCCTAGTTCGCAGATGGGGAAACTGAGGAACAAAGTTTATTATAAACAAGGACATACATATGCATACATATGTGTATGTATGTATATATGTGTGTGTGTGTATATATATATATATAGTGTGTGTGTCTATATATTTATATATATAATCCTTAAGGTTTGCAAATTTTTTTCCTGACAACAATCCAATGATGCAGTGACTTATCCATGGTCAATGGTCACATAATGAATTAGTATCACAGGCTGCGTTCAAAGCTAGGGGTAACTCACGGAGGGAGAAGAGAACTGCTTTTACAATCTGATGATCTAGATTCAAAATACTGTGTCTGAACATGAACAGAGATCTTCATCTCTTGGTCTCTGTTTAGCAATCATCCAGTCCAGCCCTTGTATTGCACACATAAGGAATCCAAAGCCCTTATCAGCTCGAAATCCAACAATCTTAAATTGCATCGAAGCAAATTTTAATTTGTTTTAAAGAAAAAAAGATCCTGATGATTTTTTTTGGTTCAGTCATTTTAGTCATTTCTGACTCTTTGGAACCCATTTTTGGGTTTTCTTGGCAAAGATATTGGATTGGTTTGCCATTTCTTTCTCCAGTTCGTTTTTACAGATGAGGAAGCTGAAGCATAGTCAAGTGACTTGCCCAGTGTCACACAGATAGTAAATGAGGTCACATTTGAACTCAGGAAGATGAATCTTCCTGATTCTAAGCCCAGCGCTCTATCCACTTTGCTACCTAATTGCCCTTTCTGACAAGTAGAGCTTTGCAAAAGTGAAATGGTATAATCCCCTGCACATAATAGGTAGAGTGGATGCTTAATGTTTGTTGAATTGAATACAGTGTTGTAGAGAGAATTCCAGTTCAGGTAGGGGTTGGACTAAATGACTTCTGAGATAATTTCCAACTTTGAGATTCTGTGGTTTTTATCAACCAAACATTTCATTTTTTCTTTTAAAGCAAATATGAAAAAGCTAATAGGCAATTTTCAGGTATTTGATCATTTGATGTTTCTTGTATTTTTTTTTCATGCATGCCTTTGAGCTGTGGATCTTCTGTTCTTTCTGTGGTAGAAGAAATAATATCCAGTATTTCATATCCATATAGTCCACTGAGTTCCACTGTTATCCACATATGAG